CAAACAAGAATGTGGCTTCTTAAATGGGTGCTAGAGATTGAAGAATGATGTGTTTTGGACTTCATTCCCCAACATTCTTCCCCTGGGGAACAGGGCTGCTTGCCACTTGAGCCCGTTTTTTTTCCCAGATTAGGGCCAAGTTCAAATGTTTTGGTTTAAAACTGACTACAGTAAAAAAGTTTGGCTATCAGTAAAAGTTTGCAGACCAGGAGTAAAAAAATAAATCTTGGTTTGGCAATCCTGCCTGACTGCAGCAATGGTTTATATTGTGCTGACCCAGGGCTTCAGTGTGTGGATATCCCAATTTATTGTCGCAGTTCCAATACTGTTCTGCTCTGGGGCATGAGTGTGTGGAAGTGAGTATGAGATCTTGAGGGGGAGAGGACCTGCCCACCCTCCCTCCCTCCCAGAGGTCCCATACTCACTTCTTCCATACACTGATGCCCTCCAACCCACTCCCTGTCTTACCCCTGCCAGTTAATGGCTTGCATACCACCCCATTCCAGCAGAGACACCCCAAAGAAGGATTGTCTGCCTACCTGTAACCCAGCAGTATTATAGGCAGGTGACAGGAGCCGGCAGCAGCAGCAAATGTTTGGGGCAGGGAGACTCGAGAAGCTTCCATGGGCTACAAAGCTCTGACAGAGATCGGCACAGCATGCTGTGCTCCCACTCAGAGTCCAGCTGGGGCTCCTCTGCTCTGTCTGTCTTTCAATGTTTAACTCCAGCTTTATTTCTGAGGAGGGATTGTCAATCAGCTCTGGATTGCTCAATGTTTCTACAGATAGCTCGATATTTTTTACAGCCTTTTCAGACAGATGTTTTTATCCTGGATTTTTATGGACAGTCTGTAAATTTACATATAGCAACCCTGCTGGCTAAGCTCTCCAACAAGACACTTATACGAGTCACAGACCATTCCTTTTGCTTCTGACCTTCCTCCCTGAGGCCTGCAGGGGCAATGGCTGATGCAAATTATCCATAAGGAGAAGTAGAGATGGGTGAACAATCTTCCATAAAAGTACATGCAGCCCTGGGAGATCCCTGAGCCTGAGGAAGGGTGTGTGCGCCTGAAAGCTTGTAGAAATTTTTTTTTTTTTGCAATTTCTTAGTTGGTCTAATAAAAGGCAGCAGTGCTGAACCAAGAGTTCTAGAGTTTTGCATTTCTGTTTGTCGCAGACCAACACGGCTACCAAATACATCCACGAAAACAGGTAAAAATATCCATTGGTATGGGGCTGTGGTCCTTACTATGAAGGAAAAAGGATATTTTTTATACAATGCATATTTACCTATAGCAACTGGCTTTACACATCAGAGTCCTACCCCCTGGGATATTAAACACATGTACATTGGGACAATGACTAGCTGACAGCATAAATAAGAAATTTCCCTTTGTCCTTTAACTGTCATTATAAGTATTTTGGCATCTTCATGTAAAACCTCTGTTTTTTTACCTCCTTTGTCATATGAACCACTGGTTTGATCTCTTAGAACTATTCCTGTGTAACTGTGAACACATGCTGTGAATCACTACACAAAAATACTAAACTAAAATACTAGTTAAAAAGCCACAATGATGAAATTGCATTGCTCGCTTTTGCTCTCTACAATAATAGCCTAAACAGCTGCTTCAATAAGGCACTATTTATTTATTCTTCTACAGGATTTGCTGCTTTACTGACACTATAATTACAGTAAAAACACACAAGTCACTTAAATTACCATAGTAATTAAACTAGACTAATGTACTGTAATTATTTCTTCCAAGATAAACAATAACTTTTCTAGTATCTTTTATTTCTTGGTAATATATTATCACACACATTCCTGCCCTGCTTGAATTGTCCTATTTGCACAATGCTTTGGAACTTGCATCTAAGTAAAGTAAATGAAAAGAAAATGTCATCTATAGAAGACATTCAGAATGCACCTCAAGTATTTTGTGGGATCAGGGTCAGGGCATTCAGCAGCTTGCAGGATTGAAGTATGTGCGTGAACAGCACTTACATGAAAGGAAAAAATATATATAAAAATTTCTTCCTAGCTACTAAATTTTCCTTTAAAATATTCTGGCTTTTAATTCAGTCTGGAAGCTATTTTAGTAGTGAATCACAGTAATCCAGCATGGCAGCCAAGAGACTGCTATATTTTCAAGTCAGGCCAGAAGGAAAGGTTGTTCAAAAGTAATGTTCAAAACCCATATGGATGTGGAAGCTTTGTGCTTGTGTGCATGCTGTGCTCTCTCTGAATGGGCTTACCTTTAACCACTGCAAATGAACTATAAAACCATTACAGTGAACTTATATCTGTATTGGTGCTGGCAACTTTGGGGATTTTATTGAGAGTTT